TCCCAGAAGTGGGGCTTTTGTTTGGTATCTCTTTGAGATCTTTTATTTGGAGCTGTAAAAGAAATCAGAAATTCTTGGGTTTTAATGCTAACCTGCAATTTCTCCTGAGTGTCTGTTGTTTTGGTAAGAGCTGCTGTTAAAAGCACAATATTTGATCAAAACTACTTGATTGAATTCACAAGGCAGCAGCAGATGTTGGTCGTGTTCTTCAACCAGCCTTGTGTTTGCAGTCCACAACTCTCAGGCTTTGGTCCTGGGATCCCTGAGATGCAAGGAAACAAATTCTGGGACACATGACTAGATTTTAACCCTGGCAGATTAGCATTTAAAATGAGTAACATTATTTCTGCATATGCATTTGCATTAATAGTACGAATATCCATTTAAGGTGTAATTCAGGTATGCTCATAATTTGTGAAAGTGAAATCAAGAGTATTGCCATGATGGGAGCAGGGGATGGTTTGAAGGGAGCCAGTGACAGGGTGAAGCATGTTCTAGTTGTTTGCTCTGTTTAGCCACAAAAAGGAATTTGGAGAATGCCCCATTTGAAGAGTTTAATTTTACGGCAGCGATGTGTTGGAAGGTACCTGAGGTGCTCCAGTAATTGTTTTGGGGCTATCCAGATTAAAGGTTACTGTGCAGGTGAGTGGGAGATGCAGCACCTGCCCTTCATTCCATTCAGGACCTTATTCCATAGTCATAGCTAGACTATGGTATGTGTGTTCTAAAGCCCAGATGTGGCATTCTTAGAATGACTGTGCTGTGTGGCTGTCTTTCCATTTGCATTGACAAATGAGGTCTCTAGCCTATATAGATAAATAATTTTCATGGCACTTGACATTTTCATGTGAATTACACAATGGAAAGGGTTTGCCAGCTTAGCTGTATTTTTCTAGAAAGCAGCTTCCTGCTTTTTGTCATTTTATACTCCTGATCAAAGTAGTTTTTCTGGAAGTCTGCTTTAGCCCCAGCCTTGCATCCATTCAGTTCACATCTCAGTAGGGTGATGTCCTAGGAATAATGCCAGTACTTTAGGTGCATCATTTTTTCAGGTAATAAAATAAAGCTCATGAGGATCCTGTCATGAGTTCTGCTGGATATAGAATGGGTCAGCTGTGATATAGCAGGGCAAGGCTTCTGTTCAGTGTAGTGTTCTGCTCTCACTTGTGTAGTTATCACTTTCCTTCTCCAAAAGAGCTGCTTTTTGAATGAAATTGAGGTGGAAACATGCTGGCAGGGTGGCACATCATTGGCCTGAGTGGAGTGACAGCAGTGAGTTCAGTGGTTGTTATGTACAAACCTGACACTTGAGCTTACAGAAGTTTGCCACTGGTGTGTTCTGCCATTCTTGTGGGTAAAGGGAGTTAGACACATTTTACACAAAGATACTCTCTTTTTTCTCTGTCTGCATTTTGATGAAGCTGAGGCTTAAAGTTAATAAAAGACCTGACTGTAGAAGTACATGCCATTCAAGAACCAACAACCTGTGTGGATAGAGAATCTCTTCTAGCATAGGTTTTGAAAAAAAATCTTTTGAGAAAACTGATGTCTTTATTGTCTTTAATTGCCTAACTAGCCTGGGTTGCATTCGGTCATTTCTTGGTGAACTGAGAGCTGTTCTAGTCTATAACCATTTCTTGAATGTGTGCAAGCATTGAAATCTGTTAGCTCACCATTCAAAAATCTTTCACAGGAAAAAAGACCCAATAGATATTGGCAAGAGAGGCAGATATGTTAACAGAAGAGTTTTGGGAACTCAAGGAAGATGTATATTTGTGTTTCCTGAGCTCTCTGATCTGCTGTGCATTATCCACACGTAATTTTGAGAAGGTCTGGAGCTGACAGGGAAGTGATACTACCAGAGAAGTAGTATGTTCATTAAAACACAGTGACTCTTTCCTCATTCCTGTCTCCCATCCCAAGTGTCAGTTGTGGGAGGATAAAAGGTTAGCCGGGCCAGTTAAAATGATTTCTTTAAAGGCCTGAGCTGTACCTTCCTCATTCCTGTCTCCCATCCCAAGTGTTGGTTGTGGTAGGATTTGAAGTCAATGAGAGGAACAATAAAAAATGTGTATGTGGAAGTGACCCCTTGCTGCCAGGCTGTTTTCGTCTCGGGGTTGCTGTTATGTTAGAAACACCCAGTCTGGGTAAGAAGGGACCTTTTTAGGGGGAAAATATTGGCCTGCTCAGTTTTTATTGAGTAGTCATTCAGAGATGTCTTAGTATGCAGAGAACACATTTGCTCAACAAGCTGGCATCATCTTCCCAAACACAGCCCAAGAGTTGCCTTAAGTACAGTGTTGGTGCCATGAAATACACACCTGTGAAGTCTGCTGAGGAGCTGAATGGAAACCATGGCTTCTGGCTATCGTTTGGACCAGCTTAATGTGCTCTGGAAAAAAATATTTCACACGTCACATCACACCGGCTGAAAAAATAGCGTGCATCAGCAGCGCTGTAACACAGAGTAAAGGACTCAGCAGGTGTTAACGTGCAGAGGCACTGAGCATTGTGGTAACACCTGTGTTTGTTTAAATCCAGCCAAAACAATTTCCTCTCCAGTTGTAGAGGAGGATTAAAAAAAAAAAAAATCTCCCTAACTTCCAGTAGTAGCAGACATTCCTGTGAAACAATTTGCATAGTATTTCCCATGGTGCATTCTGGCTGCGCTGGGTTGGTTTTTTTTAAAAAACCTTTTAGTGTGGGGACACCTTTAGTAACTTCAGTGCTTCCCAGCCATCTCTTTGTCCTTTGCCAGCATTGCCAGGCCTGAGCAGTTGCAGATGGTGTGCTCTCTGAGTGCTTTCTTAATTGAATGAAAAATAAAGCCTCTTGTAAAATATTACCAATTTAGATGTGACTTATGGGGCACATATGATGCTTATTTTTTCAATAACATGAAAACTTGGCGGGGTTAAACATGGGAAGCCAAGTGTTCTGTGAAGCCTGTATAGATTTCTGGATTTCTAGGTGATTTTGCTTTAAATTATTATATAGCAGGAGGAGGTGAAGGAAGTCAGCAGCTAAACTGTGTTTTTCCAGCATGTATTTTACGCAGTGGACCCTTGATGCTCATTTCATGACTAATATATGCTGTACTATATGCATTTCTTGTTGTCACCAGAGATAACATTAAGTAAACTATCCCCTTAAGAAAAACAGCTTTTCTTGGCAAGTGGAATATGACTCAAGGAGCCAGCACTGGAGACATACGGTGCTGTGAATGAGTGCTGTGTGTTACTCTACTGGATCTGAGTCCAGGCACTATTTATACTGCAGCATATTCAGCACCAGATTGTTAAATCTTAATACTGAAACAGTGCATCATTGAAATGTTTTTGTTCTGTTTATGTCCCATTTTAAAGCATTGGATATCAAGCAACACTTAGTAACTTTTTGTTTCATTTGGACAATATATCTCTTTGCCAAAAGCTTCTTAAGCTTCACTGCTCTTGAAGTATTAGCCTGTCTGTACCAGTGTGTTCCAGTGAAACTTTGTGCCACTGAGGATGAACTAGGTCACTTCCAGCTTCTTTCAGTGTGTGCTGACAGAATGCCTTGCAAAGCTTGTCAGTGGTAAATGCAAAGACTTAAGTGCTACAGAAAAGGAGTTGTACTAAAATTATTTCCTCTTCAATCTGTGTAGGAATGGGGAAAAATACTCCATAGCAGGTACTTCATGGCCTCTTTGTATTCTGTTATTGTCTCTGTGAGAAGCTTTGTTTCACTGTTTCAGTGTAGTGTTTATCTTATGATTATTTTTGGGAGATCAGAATAAGAGGTTTTTGTAATTTACTGCAGTTCAGTTAGTTCCAGAGCTGGGAGTAGAAAGTGAGGAGGAGACAGTTGAAGTTTCTTGGCACCACAACATCCTTCTAGATACCCAAGAGGAGTTCTTGGCGTGTCTGTTATCTCAGAAGAAGTAGTCTTCTTGTGTATTAGTGTACTACTTTTTTTCTGGCAGTTGAGTTTATGGATGTCTTTTCAAAGATCACACAGTATATAAAGAAACCTCAGAAGGCATCAGTTTGAATGGAAGAATGGTGTCTTGTAGGGCTGAGCTGAGGAGAGTTAAGTGAGCAGAACAGTGGGGCAGTGGGAATACAATAAAGGAGGGAATAAAAGCAGTAGTGGCAATAGTGCAGAACAAGACTGAACTGCTTTGCTGTCATGTAAGATGGCACTGTGGCTTTCTTTGTTTGGTGTCTTCCTGGAAGTCATTCCTGGGATTAGTCATTGTTTTTGGTGTGGGTGGGCCCTCTGTAATTGTCTAAACAAAAATAATACCTCTGCACCAAATGGTTTACCATCCAAGTTCGCAGGCTTTCTGACAAGCTCATCCAGAAGAGGTGATGATCCCTATGAAAGAATGAACAGAAGTAGAAATAGAACATACAGCATTCTCCCCCGCCTCCAAAAAGCTATTTTGGATCTGTGGTCAGCAGCTTGCAGTTGTTTGGTTCTTGATTTTCTTTGTGGGGAAAAAAAACCCAAAACTGTCTGCATAGTGCAACTTGTATCTGGGAGTGAACTCTTCCTGCTTGGTGGGTTTCCATCCACACTGGGAATCGTACCATGTTTAGATTGTAACAGTGCTGAAAGCCCACGCATAGGAATTTTCCTGTTCAAGTCAAAGTAATGCATTTATTTACTGAAGAGTTTTTGTAGACTGCAAAATCAGGACTAGAAAGTACTTAAAGCTTATTCTAACTTAAAGAACTAGGCTTTAGAGCTATGATGAAAGATGTGAAGGAAGTCTCCTGTGTTTCCTTACAGTAATTTAAGAGTCAGGAACATGTCAGCAACTCTCTCCTAAAAATTTTGAATCTGTTCCTGCTCTTCTCCACTGTTTTCTCAGGAGTCAGTAGAATACATCTTCCTGGGCAGGACTGCAATAAACCTCAAGGCAGATCTTGAATCTTGGGAGCAATCAACCTTGCTGAAGGCTTTCATAAATGGCTGATAAAATATAAAGTATGGATTTTTTGTTGTCTTTTCAGGAATAATCAAGCTTGGGAGGTGGAATCCCCTCCCTCTCAGTTATGTGACTGATGCACCAGATGCGACAGTAGCCGACATGCTACAAGATGTCTATCATGTTGTGACATTGAAAATCCAATTACAAAGGTGGGTGTTTCTGAACATCTGTCCTTCCCTATTCTCTGAGCTGCTCTGTTGGTTACAGCGTTACTACAGAGATTAGCACATCCTGTCTTCATTAATTTCTGGGCTTCTGATGAAATGAAAAGAAAATGGAGAGAAGGGTGGTTCACCTGGCAGGTTTTTGGTGCATGGTCCAGCTGATACTGTATGCTTTCTGAAGCAGCATTGTGGTGGGTGAAGGGCAGAAACTCAATCAAGTAAAAATATGGGGCTTTTAGAGGCAGACCTTTCCACAGTCCATGATTTAATGGATTCTTAAGTTCTAATTTTATCAAATAATAAACTCTTTGCCTTTTTCTAGCATCTGCATTATGAAAATCCAGGTCTTCTTCAGCCAATTGCTGAGATGTGGAGGAGGGGAGCTTTTTTTCCTTTCCTTTTTTTGTCCAGTGGTCTTTCCAGCAAACAGAAGACAAGGAAGGAGAGTGTTGCTGCAGCTCCATTTGGCCTTTTGAAAATGTTTTCCTTCCCTCAGGGCTAATTTTGATCAGCAAAGCAAAAGCTCCCAACATTTTTACACTTATTTACCCTCCTTTCCTCCCTCCTTTTTTCTTCTCCTTTCTCTGTCTTGGCCTTCTAAAGAGTCCTCAAATGTAATGTCCCTGGCAGTGCATGGCATATGCCAGAGCTGCAGATAAGCCTACATTGCACAGCCTCCTGTAGCTGTGTGGCCAGAACATGACAGAGGAAAGAGTAAAAAGTAACAGACAATCTGGAATAATTTGCTGACAATTCTTTGAAGCTTTGGCTTGAACAGAAGAGGGGCCCACAAGGATATGTGCATGTTCTTTGGTGGCAGGTACATGCCCTCCAACTGTTCAGTGCAATTTAGAATTTGGAAATAGTTGATGCCTCACTGACATTAAACTTGCAAACAGCAACATTTCTTTCTTGTTGAATGTCTGATGGTGCTTGGGTTTTCTTATTTCCATGAACAGGTCTTTCCTTGGTTTTGTATACTGTTAAAATTTTTCAGCTGGGCTGCATCTCTGCTGTGTAGCTGTAAAAGAGTGTCTAGACCCTATAGCTGCTATAGAGCTACCAGGAGTTCATGTAGTGTATTGTCACATCTATGTTAGCAAAGGGTATGAACCGAAGGTTAAGATTTCATTCTTTATCTTCAAACTGCCTGAATGCCTGGATGTCACATAAATAAAAGATAGTCCATGGCTTTGACATAAAGATGTTCACTGAGTACTTGAACTCCACAAGCACAACTGAAGGTTCAGCTCTGAGGCAAAAGCCAGGCTCTAAGGGCAGAAGGCAGAACCACCTTCTGGGGCCATTGGAGAGCATGCATTAAGGCTCTGCAGCAGAAATGGCAGTGACAAGCTTCTCCCACCTTTTTGCTGTGCTTCTTGGGTCTGTCCCCATGCATGTAGACACAAACCATAAGCTTGTTAAATTAAAAGAGGCACAAGTCACATGAAGACAAAAGCTTCACTACATATGCAATTCTTGTGGAATGAAAGTGAGAATGAACTGCACGTGACAGATGTTGGGCATATGGCTTAAAGTGTTTCTGAAAGGCTCTGGGATACTTCAGTGATAAGGGCACTATAAGAACCTGTATAAAATTAAACTAGTTTTTCAAAGTCTCGCCTCCACACAATGAGGGCCCTCACTGTTCAGGGATTTTGTTAGTGGCAGTGCAGCATATATGTTTATTTTTCTACCCCAGCAGGAGTATCTTTGTCTGGAGAGGATGGCTTTACTCAGCCATTCCTGGGGCTCGCTTTATGCAGTTTCTTTGCTCTCCATCAGGCCCCAGCAGGACTGGTTATGCACACATATGCCATAGGAGGATCAGCAGCTGCGTGTTGAACTGCACATCTTCTGGTAATCGTGCTTGGTGGGAGAGGGATAGAGGGGAGAAGCACCTTGATGGACTGGTCAAGCAGGAAACTCCAGGGTCATGCTTGTTGCTTAAAGGTCTGTAGCACTTGCACACAAAAAGTAAGCATCTGTGAAGGTGATGTTTCTATCTGCTTTTTGCTTTCTGTTTTAACAGTTGTTCAAAGTTGGAAGATTTGCCAGCAGAGCAGTGGAACCATGCCACAGTTCGCAATGCCTTAAAGGAACTGCTCAAAGAGATGAATCAGAGCACATTAGCCAAAGAATGCCCTCTCTCACAGGTCAGTGCTTTCAGCAGGCTTAGGGAAAGAAAGATTTGCAAGACCCAAGGCTCATATTTGTTCTGTAAAGGTCCTACGCTAAACAATTCCATAAGTACCAAATAAATTTCTTGTTTACTTTAGAAAGGAGAAATACTAATTAATATGTTAAATGGTATCTTTACACCATGTTTTCTTAGTGGGTTGCCAGGTAAAAATTATTAATTGATTGGTTTTCATAGAGATATAAATCCATTATTTAGATTTTTAGCTGAACCTATTGCAGTAAGTGTAATGATCCTCAAACACAACATTCAAATGGCTTCTTCCCACTAGCAGAGGCTTGCCTTCCCCCTTAACCCATGGATAGCTCTCATCAGCCTGCAACCATGATAAAAAGTATGCAGCTTTAACAGTTGTGCCCCAATTTCTAGGAAACAGCAACAAAGAAATGTATATGTAATTATGTTAAAAAAAGAACAAAAACTCAGCCTCATTCTCCATGACTGCCTTTTAAATGGCAGTGATGTCATGTCTAAGACACAGGTTCCTACAGATGTCACGAGCTCTATTTGTACTTTAGATTGTCATAATGAGACATCCATAAAATTTTTATGACTTACTTCTCCTTGCCTCTCAGAAAAAAACAGAATAACACTTTAGCACCCAGACCAGGTAACTTTGCTAGGCATGAAAAATATATTGCCTTCTAAAATGTGTACTAGAATCAGGTTAATCTGTCCATTGTATCTTTTAAAAGTCAAAACATGAGTAATTCCAGCTTCCTAAAAATCCAATACTTTGCTTGCTCATATCCAGTATCTTTTCTCCTGTGATTGTCTGTCTTCCATTGCACTATTCATCCTGCAATTCATGATCCAAAGCCTCCATGAACCAAGAGAATTCACTCTGTTCAGCACAAATTTGCCTCGCTGTGTTATGATTACAACTCCAGGGAAAGCACAGAGGTAAAATATGGAGCTGGTAGGAATCACATTCTTCACTTTCTTTAGCCATGTGGGATCTGCAGAACTAACAGGAATTGGAAGGGTTTTGTAAGGAAAAGCTATGGAACTTGCTGATTTAGTAAAGGAGTAACAGACACTGTAGATATGCACAGTGTGGAATACGCAGTGAATACAAAAATGTTTTCCTTTTCACACAATTTAAGTGTAATTTTTTAAAATAGAATTATCTGTAGAATCTGGTCAGCTAATGATGATTGCAGCATATGGTTGTCTCTGCCCAGTCTTCTTCAATATCCAGCATAACTAAACTATGCATCATTTCATATGCAGAATTCATTTGTTGTCTGGGTCTGTTTCCTCCTACTTGAGTTTCAAAGCCTACCAGGTGGAAACACTGCAGTTGGTTTACTCCTATAGGCTCTGTCTGACATATATTTATAAAATTACTGATGGCAGAAGTGTAGCAGCCAAAATCCTTACCCCAGTATTTATTTAGCAGACAAAGCTAAGAGGAGATCCTTCTGTAGGAAATTGAACTTGCTTACTATTAAGCACAGGTATAAATGACCTTGGGTAGTGACTAACTCTTGAACTGAGACTGCAGTATGCAGCTTGTATCATTATTATTATTGCCATAAAAAGTTTCAGTCTCTTTTGGTTTAGCTCACAAAATGCAGAAGATACAATGGAAGGTTGTATAGAAGCTGTCTATTACCATCATCTGAATATGCCTCTAATACAATTCCTTTTCCCAAATCAGTTTTAAAAAAATATCGTGCCAAATGTGAAATGTCATTACAACCCCCTTGTGGTTAATATATTATTGACAGCAGCAAATTGCAGAGTGGTCTCTTAGGAGTGAAACTGCAGAGTAAATGCTGCTGTTTATTAATGTGTTCACAGTGCCTCAAGTACAGAAGCAGAGAGGGGCAGCGTGGGGAGCTCCCGCTCCCACCAGCGACGGTGCTCCGGCTCTGGTTCTCAGTGCCCGAGCTCTCCAGGCAGCCCAGATGGGGATTCTGATTGCTGCTAATGGGAAATGTAATCATTCACTTTGATTTAAAATTGTTCTGGTTTTTTTCTGCTAGGTGTATTACATGTCTGCAGCTTAGCTGCCCTTAGCCTACGGCTCCTGTTCAAACAAATAAATCCCGGTTAACCAAGCTGGGGGGAAGGAGGGTAGGTAGGGGGAGTGTGTGTGGCAGAAAGAAATCCAATTATTTCAGTATTTCCATCTTTTCATAGAGATCTGTCTTCACTGTGTTGTAGCACTCATTTCAGCACTGACCATGCATTTTTGTCTCTCTGCTGGAGCAAGCTTTTTTAGGACATGAGCGTGTCCCATGTTTTTCTCCTTGAACTTACTGCACCAGATTTTCTTTGTGTGGGTATTTCTTAGCTCCTGCTCTAAGTAGTTCTAATAGAACATGGCTGTCATGGCCACACACATACCAAACATACCTGCTGCTTTATTCCTTCGTTAAGGATTTTTCTAGAAACATTATGCATTATTTAGAAGTTTGCAACTAGTGAGTGATTTTTTTATCCCACTCTCTTTTAAATGGATATTTCCTTTCTCCAGACTTATCAAGATTCCTAAGAGAAATACCCCTAGTGTTCCTTTATATATAATAGTGAGGACATGTGGTCTGAAAATTGTTATAGTTCTTTCCCCTGCAGAAGAGAATCTGTCCTGGGATTTTTTTCACCAATGGTTGATTTACTGTTTGATTTTACTTTGTTTATTTAGTTTAAGTTTTGCTTTCTCAAATAAAGGTTAATGGGTTAATACATTCTGTGATATTTAATAGCCTCGTGATTTCAGTAATGTTGATTTCTTGTAGAGCTAGATGATTTGGAGAGGGAACCTCCTCCCCCCCAAAAAAAAAAAAAATTAAGAGAACCAAATTGATATGTAGATGGAGCTCAACAATACCCCCAACTTGCTTTAGTGAATGGGAATTTAACTGGAGTGATGGAAAAAAACTCAGGTTTGCTCAAATTTGTTCAAAAACCCTCTTCAACAGAGGCTATAACCATGCCAGGCTTTCAGAATTCTATTGCTTGTTAAAATGCTGTAGAGCAAGGGAAGATTTATGGGCAAGGAATTGCTACTGACTGCCACAATGCTAGGTTTATGTCTCAAAATATTGATTTTAATTAGAAAATTGAATCTCAGTTTTAGAAATTGGAACTGCTACTTAAGGCTCTTAATTCATAGCCTGCAAAGTCTACTGCAGTGCACCATAGCACTCTTTGAGTGGAAAAGGCAGAGTGAAAAGGCAAAAGGGTCTCTTCAGTGAAAGTGAAATTGCCTACTGAAGACAAAAGTAATCTGTATCACCCAGTTACCTTAAGTTGTTCAGTTTTGCTCACGTTTTTTAAGTTCCTAAAACTCAGGAGTTAGGGACAGAGTCCTGTGATACTGCAGTGAACGGGACAGGAGGCTGGGTGACTCTGGCAGAGGGCAGGGATGATTTTGTTTTTAAAGCATTGTTAAATTCAGTGAGCCAGTGCATAAGCCTTGTCGCTTTCCAGAGATGTCCAAGAGCCTGCAGGAGCTCATAGACCAGAGCTTGAAGCCATGGTTTGAGCTGTGAGATCATCCTTGCTCTCTCCCTTTGGTGCAGAAAAGTTACACAAGGTGCCCCAGCTTTCTCTGAGCTCTGACATAAGTGCAGAAGGAGGGCATGAGGAAAATAAAATACTGTGGAGAAGGTGCATTGACTCCCATGTGTTGGTGCTGTTAGATTGCATTTCCTTGGTGACAGTGCAGTACATGTGCTGAGAGCAATTTGACCCTGGAAGAGTTCAGAAAGGGGAAAAGGACAGCAAAATGTTGTTAAAGGGATGCCTCCTCCATAGCATGGAGGAAGGGAAGGGAAAAATAGAATGGAAGAACTAAAAGTAATGAAGTTGTTTGCCACCCTATGGGCAGAAGCACCCCATATATAAAATATCCTTTTTACTGCTATCAGGTGCTGGAAAACCAGTCTGTAGCCATCTCTTCATTCAGCTTGTATGGAGTTGCTTAGGGGGAATTTGCAGAGTAGGGAGAGATGCTGGTTAGGCAAGTGATATTTCAGTTTTGTTGAGCTTTCTTGTGGGTTTTGACTGCTCTGTGTTGTAGTATGTGTAGTTCCCTGTGCTCTGAATGGCACTGCTAATTTCTCTTCTGGGTGATTCTTCACACAAGGGCTAATCACACGTTTCTGTAAATTATATTAATTTAACTTATTTGCCTAACTGTTGTTCTGCACCAAGTAGCACGGATGTTCTCCAGTTCTTGGCTGTGCGGTCTTGCTGCATTTGGAAGCAGAACTGAGACATCTGAAAAGCATTATTTGGATTATGCATGCTGGAGCATCTAATCTTACCTTTAGGATCTGGTTCCTAAATTGTGCTTGGTGCAGTGAGCATGTGTTCCTCGGCACAGCACTGCCTGTTGTTATGCAACTGCAGTTTGGCTGTTGCAGTATCACAAGTACAAAGCAAAGTAGAACTTCCCCCCCAGCCTGAGCTGCAGGTCTCAGTGTAGGTTTGTGCTACATTTTTTATACATAATTGTGCAAAGTAACTGTTATTGTGATTTTATTCATGCCTGGGCATATAGACTGGAGAATAAAATCAATATTTTGTACTCATCAGATGATTCTTTTGGGTTTAAAGTCACACATGGATGATCATTATGCACTTGTGTGCCATTTGCCTTCCCTGGAAAAGATTTCTAATCATGGAAGATGTTTTAAATCACTTTTTGTTTTTCTTTCTATACTTCCAGAGTATGATTTCATCCATTGTAAATAGTACATACTATGCCAATGTGTCAGCAACCAAGTGCCAGGAGTTTGGGAGATGGTACAAAAAGTACAAGAAGATTAAAGGTAAATTGGTTTTTTTTGTTGTTGCTTTCCAAGTTCTTGAAATTTTGCTGACAGTTTGAGATTATTTGATTTAAATAAAAGTAATAATAAGCAATAATAATATTTGTGAATTTGTCTACAAAGAGGACACAGTCACAGCGCATTTGAAATTAAATCTGATACTTTACAAACAAGGCTGGCATGAAAACACAGGACACAAAACATGCTTAAAATATCCCATTTCACTGTGCTGAAAGATCAACTGTGTTTTGAATTAAGCAAAAACATTTTGGAAAGAAAGCATTCTAGTATCTCAGGATTTAAAAGTTAAATTACTGGGTAAGTTGCTCTAGTTTTGTTTTGTTCCTGAAAGCTAAAAACCTGACTTTTAAAGTTACATGTGCCCTTGTTCTTTGTTCTCAATACTGCAAAGTACTGGCATTCCTGCTGTATTTTATTCTGTGGAATCTGGATACAGAGGATTTAATACTGGTTGTGGGGAGACACTTACATATAGCAAGGTGCTGCACCCACTGAAGTAATGAGAAAAATAGGCCATTGTATGTATTTTTTTCTATAATGAAATTGTATTAGTAGGTCTGTAGTGCCTGAGGCAGTAAGATTATTCTAAGTTCATCCCATTCTCACCACTGAACTATCTGATCACTTGTCAGTGATGCACAATATAATGTGACAAGCATCCATTTGTGTGTGGTTTGTTCTATTATTATTCCTTTCCTTTGGCAAGAGACTTAAGTGTGCACTAGACTATTTGTTTTAGTAGGTTTTTGTTTTTTGGGTTTTTTTTAACACTCATGTGCTTTAAATGCTCAGGACTTAGAGGATAGTCAAAAGCTTTTTCATAATTCCACCTGGGACCTCTCTCCCCAAATCTCCATCACTCTTGGAGATTAGCTGTATGCTGGGGTAGGGTTTTTCCATAGTTTTTCTGTCTCTTACACCACTGAACAGAAGATTCACTGTCTGAAAGAAGGCATAAACTGTCATTTCTGTCTGTGATCCTTTCAGTAGCCAGGAAAATCATAAGAGAATCCACAAATATCATGAAGAAATAGGGTAATGTCATATCCTTCTTGAGAAGCCATTGTATTTTCAGTTTTGTGAGGATTAGCACCTTTCAAAAAGAGTGTGCTGTCTTTTCCTCATAAAAGGCTGGGAAGCATAAGCCAGGAAAGGTTGCTTGTTTTGTTTCCTTAGGACAAACTAGAAATCTGCATAATAATACCATAAAAAATATGCTGCTTGAGCTAGGAACACATGAAACAAAATTGCATGAAACATCAGAACAAGCTCTGAGGCATCTGTTTTTTCTTTGCACATCTGGCTTGTGCAGAGCATACCTGTAAGACACTCATGCACGGGCTCTGCAATGATTAATTTTTCAGTAGGGGAAAAAGAAAGAATGTTCTGTGGTGAAATTGTTTGTGTCTAGAAGGAAAATTGTCCAGTCAGGATTGGGGTAACAGTGCAGGCAAGGAGATGGTAATGTTGCTTTTCACCTACTAAAATGGTTTAGGCTTAGAAGTAAAAATGTTGATTGGACATTTTAGTATGTGGTTACCCCCATGCCAAATAAACTGGATATTTTATTTTCTCTGTAAATTGCCATTGTGTGACTCAGAAGTGTTTCTTTTCTCTAAATGGTGTCTCTTAATAACAGAATTTTATTCAAAGTGCTTTAACATATCCTCTTGGTTAAAAAGCAATCAAAAGAATCAAACAGCTTCAAGGTCATCACCATTCGCTTTTACTTGATGTTCTGGGAGAACAGAAATAGGCTTTTTTTTTTTTTAATTTTTCTTTTTTCAAAACTGGGCGAGGGTGCCAATTGCAGAGGCACTGGAAGCCCTTAACTGTAGTGTTCTTAACTGTAGAGACACTACTACAGCTTCTGAGTATTTCTAGTACACTGTTGTCTTCTACTTTCTTCCACTCTTAGAGCTTATGCTCTTAATTTTTCTTTACTTAGTAAATGCACAGTTAAATTTTTAAGTGCAGTAAAAGCAAAATGAAACCTCAATCAAAAGGTCAAGGATCCAAACCCAAAGAGTTTGCCAGATAACTCTGTATCTGTGCTATTCAGAGACACAGCCAGTCGTTGCTGCTTGGAAGTTTGTGTGTTGGTAGGAGGAGAAAAAGGAAGGTTAAGGTATGTGTGAAGTAAACACAAGCTGCTATAAAGCAGTTCAAGTAGTGTTGATTCATCAACCATATGAGTGGGAGAGAAAACAAAGAGTCTGTGGCAGGTACAGTGGTGCGTGGAGAATAAACAGCAACTTCAGAGCAGTAATCTTCACTGCCTGCAAACAAGAAGACTTCTGCACGTTAGGTAGTTTCAATTTCTCATCATCTCTCATTTAATGTTGTTTATTTTCTATAGCCAGATTGTCCTGCAGGACAGCTCAGTTAATGTGCAAAATCAGTGACTCAAGTTACATGCATCAGTCATTGAGTACTCCTTTAATAATATTTTTAAAAGGGCTTCCATGAAGGTGAATGGATGATACAGTGATTTGTTTTTTGGGCTGTAGCTGGATTGATTAGGTAAAACTATGATTTGGAGTTCTTGGAACCAGCACCCGTATCCTTGTGTAACTCTAGAGCTGGTTACTAGAAAGTAAAAGCAAAAAACAATTCACATGAGCTGTGGTAAATACAAAATAAGAAGGGGCTTCAAAATAACTTTATTGACGTTGCAAACTAAATGCAGCCCAGTGTTAAATGTGTTTCCTATTATCTGCTAATGTCTGTTTTAATAAAACAGTGGGAACTAAATGGTTGCTTCTTAATCAAAACCATGATTTCCTAAACATAAGCTATGTGATTCTGTTACAAATTGCCACATATAGATCTACTAGGTCAAACTTTTTTCCTTTCTCATAGAAATAAATAAACAGTAAATTAATTATACTCTCTGGAAGATCAAAGTAATTACAACCAAAGACAGACAAAAAATAAAAAGTTCTCTGGAAAAAAAAAAAAGAAAAGCATCAGGTTGCTGAGTGCATAGCTAATGTTTAAATAATATAAGAAAGTGAACAATCAATAATTTGATATCATTAGCAACAGATGTAAAAGCTGTACACAAATGGTATTGTATCAAATCTCAAGTAAACATTCTCAGTGTGCATTCTGTTAACTCACCGAAAAGACAGCTAAACTACTTATGCTCATAATTCTAAAAAAGTTTTCAGTTAGTTCAGCTCAGCATGTCAGTTTTGTCTTGTGTCAGCTGATGCTAGAATCAAGTTCTGCTTTAATTTTTTTTCTCCCACCCTACCCCATTCCCTTAAGGTTTTAAAATGTTCACAGCTTACTCAGCAGCACAAGAGTTAGTGTACAGCCAGATTTGGGAATTAGCAGGTAGGAGGATGGAGGCTTTTTGTCTCTTCCTGGCCCTGGGTCTGCCACTTGGGGTGTGTGTGAAGATGTGAAGGACATTATAATGGGATGTCCACTCTTTCCAGTCTCTCTGGGATATATGTATATATTTGAAGCAGATCTTATATTAAAACCAGTTTTAATGGAATGTGTACAGTGGTTGGGAAACAAAAGGCTTAGCAGTTCTACTCTGGGCTTTTTGTCTTCATGGGTGTCTGTAATCACTTGAGGTGGTAATTAAGCTATTTAGTATGTGTTGTAATTGTGTTCAAAATATGCACCATGAATTAATCTAAGATTGCGATGTGAAGCCTCTTTTCCCTTTTTTTATTTACTTTTTTCTTTTTTTTGTTTGAGGGATGCAAGACCTTACAGTACAAATCTGTGCATTCATGACGAGGCCTAATTATGTTTAAACCTGCCTCAATGAAGAATCAGAGATGCCCCTTTTTTACTAAAGAATGCATACTAATAAATGACAACTATAGACTAATGACTTATTCCAGTGGTTCTCAAGCTGCCTTTCTCCTGCCCAGTCCCACGGGGATCCTTTTCTCAGTCTGAGAAATGCTCGTCTGATTTCTCTAGAAGCTGAACTTGCTGAAGCTGGGAGAAGGCATTTAACATTGTTGAAATGCAGGATTTTAATAATCGCTTTAAAGGTTTGCACTGATTTTAAATTTGAGTAACAGATACAGGAATAAAAACAACACTTTGTAGGTAACTATATACGTGTGTGTGTGTGTGTATATATGTACGTATGGAGGAGAGGCATTTCAGAATTTAATCAGTTCAGGTAATTCTCAAGAGATAAAACTTGTACCAGTTACCTACTTGTGTCCCAGTGTTTTGGGTTCATAGCATTTAGAATATTTTTTAGCTCTCTTTCTCAATAGATATTTCACTTCAAAGTGTCATGCTTTCTATTTTTATCAGAAGGACTATCACTGTATCACAATTCTTTCACAACTGAAAATCTTAACTGGTGTGAATATTTTCTTTTTGCCTGATGACACAACTTAGCTCAGTGGGAGGAAGTTAGAAAGGCAGCGGGAAGAAATAAATACATTGTGGACTTAAAATTAAAAAGACATACTTTTTTTGTCTGTGTATGAAGAACATGTCATCTTTGCTCCTGCCATCAGTGTCTGTCAAAATATAGCTTTCTGTGGATGTGAGTTTTGAGACTGTGGCTGTCTCAAAGTTTTTGTGGAATGATGAGGCTTTTCAGTTTAAAGGAGGAGGCCTCAATTATCTCTGTTTCAACAGATCAAGAATGTAAGAAAAAACTTTCATAGCTTCCTTAAATTGAGAATCTGCTTTGGCTCCTCTTTGATTTTTCCAATATTACTGATTTGTTGTTTATGTGGTCTTTTATTCTTGAAAGTTTGTTTGCTTACTTCCAATCATGGATAGACTGAGCAATCTGTTTTTCTTTTAATGTGTTCCTAGAGGCCAGTGTAGGTTCAGAGAGGTTAGAAACATGATTCAGAAGGGCTCCCAGCTTTCTTATTTCCAGGCTGAAGGAACTGAGGATTGCAGCACAGTGATAATGCCAGTGTGAGCCTAGGGAAAACTGTCATTATGTGCTTTGAGGAGGAGTTTTTAATTGTTCCTCT